TATGGAAGGCCATATGATGCTTTCTCAAAAAGCTGCGAATAGAATTACTATTTGGCCCAGCAATTCCACTACTGGGAATGTACACTAAAGAAACCATAACAACCATCCAAGCAGACATATGCACACCCATGTTTATTGCGGCTTTGTTTGCAGTAGCAAAGAGCTGAAAACAACCCAAGTGCCCATCAACAAGCAAATGGATAGAGAAGCTCTGGTATATTCACACAATGGAATACTATGCAGCATTGAAAACTAAGGAATTCATGAAATATTATACAAAACGAATGACCCTCAAGGACATTATGTTGAGTGAAATATCTCAGTCATAAGAGGACAAATATTGCATTGGGCCACTCTCGTAAAATGTGACTGACATTGGGATTGAGAGAAGATAGAGAAAGAGGGAAGGAATGATGTATATTGTGTTGAAACAGATGAGGGTGAGAACTGTTTAAAAGGGCTATATGATTGGGTATCATTGTCATTACAGGAGTTCAGAATGAAGGCTCAACAGTGGAGTAGACTTGGGAGGAGGGATTGCATAACAATGAAAGAATTTTTCTTTTACTTTCCAAAGAGAAGAGTGAAGTGGAGGGGAGGGATGAGCAGGGAGAAAAGTGCAAAAATGAATGACTGACACAAAAGGACAAATACTGCATGGTACCACTGTTGTAGAAAGTGACTGACGTCAGGGCTGGGGTAAGACTGAGAAAAATTGGATAGATAATGTATACTGAACTGAAACAGATGAGGGTGAGAACAGTTCAAAAGTGATATATGATAGCATATTGTGATTATCACAGGAATCCAGAATTAAGGTTGCATAGTAGAGTGCATTTGGGGGGGCAGGGGCAGGGTTGGGGGGAATTGTGTACCAACAAAAAAGTTTATCTTTTGCTTTTCAAAGAGACGCGTGAACTGGGGGGGAGGGGGGTAAAGAAAAAAGTGCAACAATGAATGAAAATCCAAAATCTTTGTAAATGTTCATTTAAATGAATTTAAATAATTGTAATATAAGAAAATAAAAAATAATTAAAAATTTTTAAAAATGAATGACTGAAAACTCTAGGTCTCTGTAAACTTTCATTAAAATTAACAAAAAAAAAAGAACTAAAATTGACATATTAAAGCAACAGCAACAAAATTACAAGAGCCACTAAGCAACCTCCTATCTCCAGAAAAAAGGAAATAATAAAAATTAAAGGAGGAATAAATGAAACAAAAATAATGAAAATCAGCAAGTCTAGAAATTAGTTTTCTGAAAGAATTGTTATAACTGACAAACTACCTGCATATCTAGGAGCTCTGGTGGTTTAATGGTAAGAAATTGCATTGCCAAGGCAAAGGTACATGTTTCAAATCCACCAGCTGCTCCACAAGAGACAGGCTTTCAACTCTCATGCTATTTCCTGTCTCTGAAAAACCACTAGAGGGTCAGCTATAGGCCAGTTCTTAGTTGACGGCACAAAACAACAATCTTTATAGGAGCAAGCTTCTGTATAAGAAAAAACAATCAACATAATTCATCACATTAACAAAGCAAAGAAGAAAAACCACAGCGCCTTAACAATTGATATAGAAAAGGCCTTAGATAAAACCCAACACCACTTCCTAATTAAAACACTCAACAAAATAGGAAAAGAAGAGAATTTTTCTCAACATAGCGAAAAGTATATATGCTAAATCAAGAGTCAACATTATTAATGTCAAGGGAAAAAGACTAAAAGACATTTCCACTGTGAACAAGGGCCAGACAAGGATGTCCACTATCACAACTCCTATTCAATATTGTATTTTAATTACTTGCTAGGGCATTAAGACAAGAAAAGGATATAAGAGGCATCCAAATTGGCAAACAAGTCACTATAGTAAAACTGTTACTATAGGCAGACTATATGATAGTGTACACAGAGAAACCCAAAGTTCAACAACAACAACAAAATTGTTAGACCTACTAGATTAACTTAGTAGAGTGGCAGGATAGAAGATCGATATACAAAAATCAGTGGGATTTTTTGCAGGAACAAAGAAAACGTGGGAAAGGAGACAATGAAAACAATACCATTTACAATGTTGTTGTTAAGTGCTGTCGAGTCATAGATGACTCATAGCAACCCTATGAATGAAAGACCTAAACACATGTATAAATTTTATCATTTCTCCAAGTTCCTAGACTTTCAGAGGCAAGCTATTTTAGAAGTGGATGCTACTCTTGCTTCCAAGCTTGTTTTAATTGGGGAGCTCCACCAAACACTGTCCACTATGGGTAACTAATATCACATTTGACACATCAATGTCACAGTGTTTAGCATCACAGCAACCACGTTTACAAGAGCCAATTGCAAATTGAGATACTATAGAATAAACCTAACTAGAGATACAAAAGACCTTTATAAGGAAAACTACAGAAGACTATTACAAGAAACAACAAGAAATCTAACTAAATGCAACAATAGTCTCTGTTCATGGATAGGAAGATTCAACATAATGAAAATTACAGTTCTACCAAAAGCAATCTACATGATCATCATCAATGCAATCTCAATACAGATACCAAACCCATTTTTTAAAGAACTAGAAAAGGCAACTGGACAGTTTATTTGGAATGGAAAGAGATAATAAATAAGCAAAATTCTTATGGAAAATAAAAATGTAGTGGTAGGTATAGATAGCACTCCATGGTCTCAAAATCTACTACACAGCCATAGGAACCAAAACAGCATGGTTTTGGTACAATGGCAGACACATAAACCAATGGAATAGAACTGAGAAACCAGAAATTAATCCTTTTACCTATGGTCAGTTGGTATTTGACAAGCAACCAAAACCTATTAAATGGGGACTTGACAACCTCTTCAACAAATGGTACTGGTAAAACTAAACATTTACCTGTAGAAAACTGAAACAGGATTTGTATCTCACACCACACACAAAAATCAAGTCAAGGTGGGTCAGAGACCTAGAGGTAAGCCTGAAACCTTAAGGAACATAAGAGACAAAATGGGACCACACCTAAAAGCCCTAGCCTACAACATAAATAGGCTTGCTAATGTAGCCAGAAGTGCACAACCAGGAGAGGATAAAGTTGACAAATCTAAAAATTAAGTCCTTGTGTGCATCAACAACTTTTTCCAATCGGTTGGATAGATATCTTATCGACTGGGAAAACACATTTAACAACAGCATCTCGAACAAGAGCCTTGTAACAAAAGTTTACAGACTACTACGGGGACTCCACATGAAAAAGATGGATAATCTAGTAACAAAATGGGTCCAAAAACCCATGAAAAGACTATTCACAAAGGAAGACATTCAGATGGCCAACAGCCATATAAAGAAACAGTCAAAATCATTGGCAATCAGAGAGATGCAAATCAAGACCACAATGAGATACCATCTCATCCCAGGAACTGCAGCACCATTTAACAGAACAGTAGCCAATAAATGTTGGAGAGGATGTGGAGAGATTGGAATTCTCATGTACTGCTGGTGGAATTATACAACCACCCTGAAATGCAGTGTGGTATTTCCTCAAGAAGCTGAACCAGCTATTCCACTACTAGACATATACCTCGAGAAAATTAAAATAGAGACACAGAGATTTGTACATTTATGTTTATGGGAGCATTATCCACAATAGCAAGAGAGTGGAAACAGCTCAAATGCCCATCAACAAATGAATGGATTGAAAAATTGTGGTACATTCACACAATGGAATCTTATGCAGAACTAAAGAACAACTATATCCTAAAATACTATATAACATGGGAAAGTCTGGATAACATTGTGCTGAGTGAACTAACTCAATCTCATAGGGATAAATACTGTTTAAAACCATTATTGTAAAAATGGAGGAATAACCATTGTCTACCAAGCTCTCCAATTACCAACGAACTGTGGCCATAAAGAATAGCTTTCCATGCTCTCCAGTTACCAAGGAACCATGACCATAAAAAATAGCTATGTGCAAAAAAAAATAATAATAATGTAAACTTTATTCTTACTTTTGTTGTTTTTCTGGCTGTTGATTAAGCCCCTAATTGTAAAAATGGAATATAAATGTATCATGTTAAATGCAATAAACAGGAAAGGAAAGGGGAAAAGGAAGAAAGAAGAAGGAGAATTAGAATGACTTAGAATTAAAATCATCAAGATAAAAAAAATGGAGGAATAACTAGTTAGATGTGTGTGAGTGTCCCCTAAAAGGGGAAAGGGAGAAGGGGAAAGGGTGGAAAAGGGGAATGAGGAGGATACCGGGATAGTAGAGTTCAGTGAGAGAATAGAGGGGGAGTGGATGAACAGAAAAAAATTCCGTAAGGACCAGAAAACATTCAATGGAGAGTTAAAGAAATGGGGTGATAATAGGCAGAGATCAAGAATGATTGCTTGTATGAAATATAGTATATATGAATTATTGGATGAAACACAATGTAAATGGAAGATTGCATAAAACAGTGTATAGGAATCGAACACAATCTAAGCAAATGGTTGTATGCAAACCATTTTTTAAAAACGGGGGGGATGAGGTAAGGAAACCTTAGCTCTGCTCATTCTAGGAGTGTGGCATCAAAGAAGCAATGAATCTTTCTAAAGAAAGCATCTGAACTGGATCTTGAAGAAAACAGTGATTTCCGTCTGTGTGTGTGTGGAGTGTGGCATCAAAGAAGCAATGAATCTTTCTAAAGAAAGCATCTGAACTGGATCTTGAAGAAAACAGTGATTTCCGTCTGTGTGTGTGTGTGTGTGTGTGTGTGTGTGTGTGTGTACGTGTACACACGTGGGCGCATGCACTGAAATGGGCTCAAGGCATGGGTGGGCCATCTGAGGCAGAGAAATATCATTTCCCCAGACAAGAGAAAAGGGCAGTATTGGAAAGTCATTAGACTTGGCCTCAGATACAAGTCTTCATTTTTCTAAATGTTCCTTTACCTATTTGATGAAATCCTAGGTCATTTCTGAATTTTATCATTTTAAACTGTATGTTCTTTCAGCTTTTGTACACAGCATAAAACCTACTTTTTATAAAGTAATTATATTTTTAAAATTATGTTGCCAGTTAATAACTTAAAATGAGAAGTTCTTCATTACATCTGAGGGAGGTGGAGAGGAAAGATGATGTTTCTTCTTATGAGTGGGACCATAGACTGGATGCTTTGATTATCCTGTAATTCTGTGGGTTGGTCATATATTTGAGCATGATCTTTAATTCTATGCTCTTTCTCACTTGCTATCAGATTATTTTTCCTATTTCCTTTTATTTCTGCTGTGTGCTTTGATTCAAATAATGTTCTTAAAGACAGAAAGAGGACGATGAAGCATGATATTCAAGCCGTCTGGTTAATATTTCATTGTACTGAGAAAGAAGTGGAGATTAAGTTTGTAAGATATTCTCTTTGTTTCCGTTTTTATAATAACATTAAGTACACCTCTGTTAAGACATTTCTAGAAAACATTACAGGATGTGAGTTCATTTTGACAGGATGTGGGGAATAGCCATCATTCGTCTCATAATATGCTTTTGAGAATGCTTTAGTGGATTTTTTCCCCTTTTAATTATCACTTGGGACCATTAATTTTGAGTACCAGAAAAAGAAAGCTGTTTTTCTCATATTAATTTTAGACTGACTTTTATTAAAATTTAAGTTGTGAGGAAAACAAATTCTCATAATTACTGGAAAATTCAGCTGGCCAGTAGTAGCATCAAAGAAGTTTTGTGATATTTGAAATGTGATCACACCACTTTGAAAGGACTCTCTCTATATGTAGGGTCTGCATGTAAGAAGACTAATCTGGGTTGACCAGTTAAAAACCATCACGGAAGATAAGGAAGGTCACTACATAATGCTGAAATGATCAATAGAACAAGAGGACATAACAATAATAAATATGTATGCACCAAATAAAAGACCAGCAAAATACATAAAACAAACATTAACAAAACTGAAA